TGGATTTGCCTTCCAGCACCTCCCACCTTCCTGGAGACCCCCCCTGCGTTCGTGGAGGTGCGGGACCAGGCTGCGCTGAGCCTCACCTGCAGGGCTGTGGGCAACCCCCAGCCCGTTGTCACCTGGAAGAGGAGTGACCTGCCTGTCCAGAGCGGGGACACGGTGCAGGTGAGGGTGACAGCCCCCTCTGTGGGGTGTGCCCAGGCTCTGCTGCCCATCCCCAGCGTGGTGGCACCACCCGGTTCATGGGGCACGTTGCCGTCCCTCGGTGCCATTGCAGGTGAGCAACGGGACGCTGAGCATTGCCACCGTGGAGCGTGCCAGCGCGGGCACCTACACGTGCCACGCCTCCAGCAAGGAGGGCACCGTCACCCACACCACCCGTGTGCTGGTGCAGGGTAAGGACAGGCGGTGCCCAGGGAGCACCGGGGAGCCATGGCATGGTCGGTTTTGGGAGCAGCTGGGGCTGTCCCATGTGCCCAGCCCTCAGTGCCACTCTGCCCCTCGCCCCAGGGCCACCCATCATCGTGGTGCCACCCCAGAACGTCACTGTCAACATCTCCCAAGATGCCTTTTTGGCGTGCCAGGCTGAGGCGTACCCAGGGAACCTCACCTACACCTGGTTCCAGGGCAGCAGCAACGTCTTCCACCTCAGGTATGGGATGGCACCGCGGCTGCTGTGCCACCAAACTTGCCCTCGAGTGCCAGGGAATGCTGGGGACAAATCCATCACCCCAGGGCAGCAGGGGCAGTCCCAGCTGTGCCACTCCCAGCTGTACCACTCCCAGCTGTGCCATCCTTTCCCAGCCACCTCCAGGCTCGGGTCCGTGTCCTGGTGGACGGGAGCCTCCTGCTGCAGCGAACCACCCCGGACGACGCTGGCAAATACACCTGCACCCCCAGCAACGGGCTCTGGAAGCCACCTTCCGCCTCAGCCTTCGTCACGGTGCTCTGTAAGACCCCCTCCCGCCCCCCCAGGCCGTGGGGAGCCCTGCTGGGGGGGCTGTGGTGGGAACAGGGGTGCCCCGTGGGGACCCCAGCCCTGTGTGTGCCCGCAGACCCAGCGCAGGTGACCACCATGCTGCCGGAGACTCACCTGCCCAAGGGCATGAGGGGCGTGATCCGCTGTCCCTGCAGGGCCAACCCGCCCCTGCTCTCCGTCACATGGACCAGGGACGGGCGCCCGCTGGAGCTGGACAAGGTAGGGCCGCTCCCAGCTCCTTCCCAAATCCCTTCTCCTCAGCCATTCCCCTCTCCCAGCTCCTTCCCAAATCCCTCCTGCTCAGCCATTCCCCTCTCCCAGCTCCTTCCCAAATCCCTTCTCCTCAGCCATTCCCCACTCCCAGCTCCTTCCCAAATCCCTTCTCCTCAGCCATTCCCCTCTACCAGCAGCCCAGCCGGTCCAGAGTACAGCCACTCCCTCTCCCAGCTCCTTCCCACCTCCCCAAATCCCTCCTGCTCACCCATTCCCTTCTCCCAGCTCCTTCCCAAATCCCTCCTGCTCACCCATTTCCCTCTCCCAGCTCCTTCCCCCCTTCCCAAATCCCTTCTTCTCATCCATACCTCTTTCCCAGCTCCTTCCCAAATCCCACCTGCTCACCTATTCCTCTCTCCCAACTCCTTCCTCCTCACCCATTTCCCTCTTCCACCATCCTTCCCACCTCCCCAAATCCCTCCTGCTCATCCATTCCCCACTCCCAGCTCCTTCCTACCATCCCAAATCCCTCTTTCTCACCCATTCCCCTCTCCCAGCTCCCCCAAGGTACGGCCACTCCCATTCCCACCTTCCTAAACTCCTCCTCCTCACCCGTTTCACACTCTCAGCTCCTTCCCACCTTCCCAAACCCCTCCTACGGCCACTCCCACTCCCACCACCCTTCCCACCTTCCCAAATCCCACCTGCTCACCCATTCCCCACTCCCAGCTCCTTCCCAAATCCTTCCTGCTCACCAAATCCCCTCTCCAAGCTCCTTCCCAAATCCCTCCTGCTCACCCATTCCCCTCTCTCAGCTCCTTCCCAAATCCCATCTCCTCCTCCATTCCCCTCTCCAAGCTCCTTCCCAAATCCCTTCTGCTTATCCATTCCCCTTTCCCAGCTCCTTCCCAAATCCCTCTTCCTCACCCATTCCCCTCTCCCAGCTCCTTTCAAATCCCTCCTGCTTACCCATTCCCCTCTTCCCACCACATTCCCAAACCCTCCTGCTCACCCATTCCCCTCTCCCAGCTCCTTCCCACCTCCCCAAACCCCTCCTGCTCACCCATTCCCCTCTCCCACCACCCTTCCCACCTTCCCAAGCTCATCCTCCTTCT